GGTCTCCGGGTGGTGCAGGCTTACGGCACAACGAATTGCTCTAGTGTTGACGCAGTAAAATACCTCTGGGTAGGTACAGTACTGGCCTAGAGAGTGGTGCCATACCTCAAGTGGCACTATCTAAAACAGCTCTTCTAGTGGTGACACAATGAATACCTACGATGGCACTATTAACTCCTCTCTACTGATAAGATACCTTAACTAACTCACCTAACACCAATTTAGAACACGGAAAAACTCCCTCTGGTACTGTTAGCTAATTACAACCAACTTTCTTTATAGTGTGGGGACATCCGGCGACACTACCAGCGAACGCCAGGCGAAGAAAAAGATAAAAAAAAAAGTCAACCATCCACATCTGCACAGTACATGACTCACCCAACACAAAAAAATGGGAAACCGTGTGGAGTGAGGGGGGGGGGTGGTTAACTAACTAGAGGCGAACAATAAGAGCTCATCTAAAATACTAATCTGTGGGTGGGACATTCTCGTGCTCTCCAAAACACTAACCAATATTCCCTTACACGTTAATAGTAATACTAATAATAACAATAATAACAACATATCCAGCGCCATAATCAAGCACCCTACACTGCACCAATATAAACATGACTCGGGGCAAAAGAAACTCTGAACGCCGTAACACAATAAACTATAAAACGTACAGCATTAACCTCAAGTTACAAATTAATCTAATATCACAGAAAATAGACTTGAACCAGGTAGGTTTATATTAATGTATATGGAAAAACTACCACGGCAAATGGTGGTCTGGACTAAGCCGGCCAAGTTAGACACCTCTTAAATTATTATTCTAACTGGACATATTAAAATATATCCACTGGATCACTTACACAACACAAGATGATGGGTGAGGGAAGGGAAGGGAAAGTATAATCGAAATGCTTTTGATATTCGAAAAACAAAGACATCCAAAATCCAATCCCCAATCAGGTGTGGGATAATCGCCATCTTTGAGAACCTGTGAGGAAGATGTTATCTCTCGAACACTCCTAAGTTTATACCTGTTCCTGGCGCCTCCCTCACCTTTACCTGGACGTGATCACGTATATTGGCTCTTAATTAATCTCTATAACCAGTCGTTGGTGTTGTAATGTTATGGCCGCGCTTCAACAAGGTCAAAAAAACACTAGTCCACCAACTACTGATCAGATATTTTACCTAACCTAACCTATACCAAACCTTACGCAACCCAACCAAACCTAACCTCACCTAAAACCATAAGCAACCAAACCTACCCATCCTAAAAGTCTCCAGGGACTATAAAACACAATATAACTTACTACCAGGTACTAGATTCTCTCCAGATGTGTAGCAGGATAAAGTCATCTCGGAAGCAGGTTAACGTCATTTAGCAAGCCATCTCCGTGTCGTAACTTATAAACGAGACTCCAGCTTATCACCCCCCGAAAAATGTTTACTGTTATTTTTATCATTATTACAATTATTATTTTTATTATTATTGTTTATATTATTATTACTGTTTTATTATTGTTATTATTATTATTATTATTATTATTATTATCATAGTAAGGACAGGAAATGTTAAATCTCTGAAAATACGAAACGACCTAACTATTGGATTTCGGCGACGAACACGACTCATTCTAAGACACACACACACACCTTCAGTCAGGCTACAGACGGGGAAGACAGCGAGAACTTCCAAAACAAGGTGTTGGTGGCGCAGTAACGAGGGGATGGTTCACCACAATTGGATTCTCTTCCTCGGGACCTGATGATTAGCTGTGACAGGGTGTGTCATAGATCGTGCGCCATAGGAGAAGTAACATGGGAAGAAAAGGGAGAGAGAAGAGAATATGGGAAGGAAAGGAAGAGGAAGGAGGAAACGAGAGGAAAATGAGAGAGGAAGGTAACACTGAGGAGGAAAAAGGAAGAGGGGGTAAAGGAAGAGGAGGTAGAGAAAAAGGAGTAAGATGAGGAAGAGGAAGAAAGGGGATAAGAAGAGGAGGAGATTGCAGGTTCTGATTGTGCAAGATTCATCCAGTGAGCAGAGAGAGAGAGAGAGAGAGAGAGAGAGAGAGCGAGAGAGAGAGAGAGAGAGAGAGAGAGAGAGAGAGAGATGATCCTGTCCAGAGATGTAGTAGTTATGTAGTTATTCAAAGGCCATCACCACCACCACCACTACCACCAACACCACTACCACCACTACCACCGACCAACAGACAGACAGCTGCATGTAGTATTATCCTCACTCACGCCAGTAGGTCATGGCTGGTCACTCCTCAAACCTCCACAGTAATCCGGCTTTCCCTATAACATCATCCATCACAACATCTCTGAATATGTTAAGAGCTTGCCTGGGTGTATGTAAGACGAGGCAAACTCACACTGATGATCGTTACGAGTGTATGTATGTATGTATGTATGTATGTATGTATGTATGTATGTATGTATGTATGTATGTTACTCGTTTTAGTATCATCTTATTTGTCTGTTTAATCATTTTCTTCTGTCCTTCTTAATATATTCCCAAATACAATAAGTTACACGGTATTTAACTAAGGGACACAGAAAAATAAAATACCAATACGAGAGAAATAAAATGCATAAATATATAACTTAAATGAGCCAAATTAAATAAAACTGAAAAAAAAATTAATAAGGTAAACACAATTAATTAGTCCTACAATTACACAAGTGCACAGGAACAGCAGATGAGCACAGCGTCAACATGGTACTATCACTTAACATCAAATTCTACATCTTCAGCTTTCCAATACCATCTCATCCCCCCCCCCCCACCTCCTCCCGGTGTAAACAAACGATTCACTAAAACACATCGTTAACACCCAAGACTTAACCTTTATCCTAACTACTCAAACGTTATTTAATTCTATTTGTATTAATATCAGTGTGATTTTCTTCTTCCCCGTTAACAAGACAGGTACGGTGGTGACGGTGAGTGGGGTAGAGTGGTGAAAGTGAGTGGGGTGGGGTGGTGAAAGTGAGTGGGGTGGGGTGGTGAAAGTGAGTGGGGTGGGGTGGTGAAGGTAAGTGGACAAAGCTTGTGTAGTTCCAGGTCAGCCCGCCGCCACACCAATGATATCATGATCGACGGTGTTTTGTGGTCTCCCAACTGGTTTTGTGTGTGTGTGTGTGTTTACGTTACTCATCACAATACAGTTTTATCACTACACTATATCTGTTTAACTTGTCTTGTGAGTGTTATCAATACATTACACTTTTTCTCATTACTATTTTTATAAGAATATCGTTGGCAATTATCTTACTCTGGTCTATATTGTCCGTTTAATTCAATTTCCACCACCAGTTGTATAAAGGTGGATTTTCTCATGTTGTTTTTAAGCTGTGGTTGCAAAAAAGGTCACAGAATCCTTATTTATTAAATCTGTAAACTTGTTAAATGAAGCCGTGGTGATCCTCTTCCTGGTCTGAATGCATTAGCCACTAAAATATATTTTTTTTATGTATGTAGAGCTCAACCCAATTCATATTTACTTATTAATACAAGAGGGAATTTATAGGAATTATACAAAATGGGAAATTATCTCAAATCTGGAACAAAGATACTCAGTTACGTATATATACATGTAAAACTGCATATATAAACCACGCATGTATAAAACTTAATTCGCTCATACAAACACACACAACCCACGCATGTATATAAAATTAATTCACTCACACAAACACACAACCCACGCATGTATATAAAATTAATTCACTCACACAAACACACACAACCCACGCATGTATATAAAATAATCGCTCACACACACACAACCCACGCGTATAACAAACCCTTCACACATCTTCACAAACACACAACGTTCGCGACTCTTCCATAAAGCATATCGGGGAGAAAAAAATACATTCATACAATAATCACAATTCACAATGAGTCGCCCTTGCCTCTCAAACACAACCAACTTTTAGCTGTAAAGGCGAACATCATTTTCACTGGCATTTTAAGCTACACCAGACAGAGATTTGACGTTCAGAAAGATGCTACCAGCGTGGTCTGAATTTCACCGAAGCGTTTGTAAACAGCAACCAAATATAGCGAAAACATAAACACAAATATATAAATAAACCAGTTTCTCATCAATAAATACTCGAGAATTATAAACCAACGTATATATATATATATATATATATATATATATATATATATATATATATATATATATATATATATATATATATATATATATATATATATATATATATATATATATATATATATATATATATATACTTTTTTTTTTATGAATAAAAATATTCAGGGAGAGAACTCAGACAAAAATCGTCAAATGTATTCACCGACGCGTCCCGTTGCCAAAGATTGTCAGCGTGATTAGTTTTAAGGAAGAATTCTGGTGATAAATATTTTTGTGCCTCAAGTATTTAATGGTGAAGAAGGAAAATTTACCGTAGAGTAAATATATATATGTAGTTTTTAATGCTTTGTTTCGGGGTAGAGAAGGATGAAGGAAGGAGAGGGAAAGGGGGAGGGTTGTATTGGGTAGAAAAGAGACGAATAACATAACTCACCGAGACAAAAACAAACTGAGGTGATGGTTTTTCTATACATATTACTACACTCAGTGTGTGTGTGTGTGTGTGTGTGTGGACTGGCTATCTTCACTACCATTACTGAGACACGACAACCTACGGATAAGCTGACAGATACCACCGTTAGTACACACAAGCCGGATAATCAACAAAGGAAGCGGAAAGCGGTAACGGAAGGGTAGAACAGAAAGGATAATAAAAAAGAAATTTCAATGAAAACAAGACTCATTTGAATCATAACCTGGAAATAAACAGATCACATTGAAGATCAGCCTCAAGAATATTTCACCTGAAGATTACACACCCTAACGCTACCTAGGGATGGTTAGGTTAAGTTAGGTGTTTAATTATGAGGTGAAATCAGCTGGGGGAGGAGGATTAATATTCACGTGATCTGATTTTACTGGAGCATCACTCACCCATAATGAGGACAGCCAGGTAGCCCATGGTGGAGGGTGAGGGTACACGGACCGAACTTGACAGGGCGAGTCTGCTGGGGTATAGGCTTTATGATGTAAACCTGATGAGACAGATCTGACGGGGCTTGGTCTGACCTGACGGGGCGGAGCTGACAGGGACCACCAACGTCTCACCCGCGTGTGTGTGTGTGTGTGTGTGTTGGTCGCTCACACCAGCAGAGGGTCTACCACACTCACTGAAACACAAGTCTCCCCGCACCACCTACATCCTTCCTTCACTCTTCTTCTGTTCTCTTCTTCACCTACACTGTCACGGGTCCTCAGTCCGGGTAATTGTGATGATATGACTATTTTTAAACACTTCGGTTCATCACTGCGTCGAGGGGGTTTCTATACTGGTGACTCACGTACTTTGCTGAATGTTAAATTTCAAGCCGTGTGTTATGTGTATACGTATCTTATTATTGTTTTAATTTATATATTTTTATTAATTCTGGTTGAGGGGCGACACTAGATAACCTCATGTTTTATAAATATATTAAATAAATAATATACAAAGATAAGGCTCGAAAATAGATTTGGGAAATAAATTATTGAGGATATTATTTATAAAACCAAAGAGAGGCTAAGTGATTTTATATGTAAGTGAAAATTAACAATTCAGTCTTCAAGACAATTACCAGTAACTTATTGTTACGAGTAGGTGGTAAGTCCTAATTGGTGACTAATATAACAGAACTCTTGTCTTAAAAATTCGTTGTATCAGTCTGCTAAAGACCTATCAACATTAATCATTTACAGCATTAAAAGAGACAAGTGTCACTATTGCTGACCATTAACATCGGTAACCGCATAACACAACATATAGCACCAGCTGTAGTGACTACTGCTCCGCCAGCACTCACACGTTCCCTCCCTCCAGTCACACGGGGCCCCGCAATGGACTGTCACAGCCCTGTGTTCACTAAATGACAAACACCGTAACACTGAGTCCTTCCCACTTACTCAAGCGCTCCGCCAGATTCTCGAGTAGATCGTGAGGCTCAGCCACTAGGAGGAGGCAGCGTGCAGCCTCCCTAGGAACGTTTACTCGTACCTCGCAGCGAGTCGCTCATCTGGCGGACCAATCAGAGGTGAGCGCGGGAGGGGTGAATGAGTGCCAAGCAGGGAGGGCGTTGTTGATAAACTATATGGGTGTAGCACGCCACGTTTGACTTAACACTCTTCTGCTCTATCGCAAATATTATTTTCTGCGCTTATATAACTAACTACAGTATTTTAATTTATACTGCATGTAGACTAATGTGCTGAGTCGTACATGGCAGTATATTATACTATCAAAGGTAAATTGAATAACTAAAAAAGACTAAATTAAGAATAATGCACATCCGGATATTACGACTACCATTCGAAATTACACGATATAAAAGCGAAAATTTTCCTTCAAGATAATCAAAATTTTCTTAATGTTCAAAGGTATTTTTTTTAAGATGACCCTTAATAAAGAATATAAAGAAATTAAAAATTATTAAATTCACTAAAGTTATTTGAAACAAACAAAAATTTAATTTGCAAAACCAGAAAAACTTCAATACAAGCAAGTTACTAAACAACAAAATTAATCCTACTTATTACACGTAGTTATGCAATAGACTGCATTTTTACAGCATCATAAAAATTACATGTTTAAATAAAATATAAAAGTTCCTATATTTACAAAAAGTTGGTCTAAGTGTGTAAAAGCATGATGAAAGCAGTGTAATGTATAAATTGTTTATACATTATCTAAATAACAATTAACCCCTTGAGTATTATGAATTAATCCCGTTCACTATCATGAATTAACCCCATGAGTACTATTAATTAACCCCTTGAGTATTATGAATTAACCCTTTGAGTATTAGCATTTAACATAGACTAATGAATATGAAGCCTCAAACTACAAGTGTCTTGTGCGATAACATGAGGAAGACTAACCAAATATCATAGAACAGTACACTCGGTACAGACAATATATACAAGGTGAGGTCCGGTGGATGTCAAAATGAACACTGTGACTCCTGTTGTCTCGGTAGAGTTGTCAAAATCCTTCGTCTGTTGTGTCATATTGTCTAGCAAAAAAAAAATCAAGATATTTTTTTGTAGCGAGTGTACACATGCTAGCTATGGTCCAAATATATATACCTTTAATAAGACAACAGTAATGAGGTTGGTATTTACATTAAAGCGACTTAGTATAGTAACCGACCCATCCAACGACTGAAATGGGTTTTTACATTACATACTTAGCATGACGGCCCGATTGACAGGCGAGTTAGGGGAGGAGGAGATAAAGATTCTATGCTTCAGCTTACGTCACATACCATGCAAGACAGGTAATTTATACAGCTATTTGCCAGGCTCATATTACAGGTAACGAAGTCATTTATATCCCAACCATGACATGAGTACAGAGCGGAATCATCTGTGACGCTCACGTTTACCTCCAAAGTCATGACGTTTTAGCCTAAGTTATATTCGAATTATGAGACGACTGGCGGGGTAGAATCAAAACACTCAAAACAAACACGGGATTAACATGACTCGGCCTGTTGTATGACATGCCAAAATTCAGCCCAGTTACGTGTCAAGAGTTGAAAGCTAAAACGCTCAATGACTTTTTTTCGGATACAAGTGAAAATGAACTAAATCTTGTCACTGCGTGGAGCTGTTTACACCAGATATAGTACAATAAAAATACATATAAAAGTATGAAACGCAAATTGTTGACGTCTTCCGTAAACAAGTATATAAAAAAATTACAAGACCATAACACCATTCACTTAAAATTTGCATCGCAATCGAAATCCAAACATTTATAACACACAGTCTTCAGTCACTTAAAGTGTGATGCCTTTACACAAATAGTCTATATTTGTTGTAATAGTGAACCACACTCATGTGTAAGTAAAGAGGGGGATTATCTGGAGACTTGGCAGTAGCTCACTGAAGTCCGCCAAATTTAAAGTGTCAATCCCTCTGGCGCGGGACAGTTATGGTGGGCTTGTTTTTACCGCGGTAAATTTAGTGTAGTATGCCTTTACAAGTGTTGGCGTTGGGAGAAGTAATGACCTGCGTTACTGAATTTACACTATCAAACTGTTACAGTGAGACTAGTTGTCATCATTTAAAGGTTGTATATTGTACTTGGATAATTAAGAAACCCTTATCAGAAGACAAACTCCCTTAACAGGTAGGCAACGCGACCCAGCCACATAGATATTCAATTACCTCTCTTCGGTATATAAGCTTGTGCTAACCTCATTCTACCTTCTAAATTTCGTTAGTCGACACGTTCTAAATAGCCCCCCTAACGAGTTCATTGAACACAACACTACAATCATTCCATCGCTCGCATGTAACCTTATACCACACACACACTTGGACGTAAAGCGATATCGATAAAAGTTTATTTAAGTCACCAAAAAGTATCCGTAATAAGTTCTAGTTTGTTTATGTAGCCGTCGAAGATCAATAAAAATCAGATAAACAATTTTTAACTCAGAAACTTAGATACGAACAGTTCATCTTACCCTTTATGAATGTTTCTCTGCGTGAGCGTACCTGTCCACTATACTGTATAGTATGAGTCTGCGTACTTGTAAAAAGTGTTACTCTGGCTGCTTCAGATAGTTTTAGTATTTTCTAAATTTATTTTTCACTCATTATGACTGTGGTCGCCAACTCTCAGACAGGAGGATGACACTGATGGACTCATTGGTGACAAACACGTCGCAGGTACGAACAATCAGAACGAGATAATAATAATAATAATAACAGGACATGAAGCCTAAGTGGCATGTATTAAGATCGATGTACAAGTTTAGTACCATTCAGAAAACAAAATGAAATTATGTAAATGTCAAACCAAACCTATTCAACATTAAACTAACATAAATCTAACCCAATTCAACAAATATAGTTAAATACAAAGCTCAGCAGAACAAACCCTAGTGTACTTACAGAGTAATCTCGTTTAGTCTACCTTTATACATATCTCAATGAGGACAGGTTACCCACCGTCACTAAATGTAAACAATAAAAAAATATTGCATGAGTGACATGTTTACCAACCACTGGCCATGCTTACTAGTATGCGGGCAGCGTTTGCACGTATCAGGTTGCAGTCTATACAGTATATTCACTGTCAAGCATGAGTCAATCAACTTTACCTACTGATACCTGTCAGTGACATTGCAGCACATTGTAAATATCCGATAACTTTATTTACAATAAATAATAGCGTTTACGTTTCATCGTTAATGATACAGATAGCGTAAAGAACTAAAATGTATGAGCAGCGTTTTCAAACTAGTTGGTAAACTGAACCGCAACTTGCGTCACCACTTAACTTTTTTACTTTCCCTTCATGCCAATGTGGTATTTGGCGCGAAATCACGTTACCCGATACTGCCAGTAAGATTAAATACAGCATATGGATCAAGTATCTTGATGTTGCAAAACGCTGTCCAATCATGTAGTATTAATGTTACCTAAAAGGTGCGACAGGAGTAGTCAGCAGAAGTTTATACAATGACAATACATGACATTGCCGTCTCGTAAGATGAATGCATGCATTCGAACACGTTGTGGAGGCGTCCGGCGGGCGTGTTATGTCGGGAACCATTTGTTTATTTCGTGTTGATGCGTCAACATTAAGCTGTCATGCTGACATATCATTATGAATCTCCAAAGCAATATAACATTTAATTTGGAATTTTCTCTCGAATCTATACATAACAATTATACATCACCAAACAATCACAAAGGAAATGTGACAGGCAATCGAGAGGCTTCTCACACCCACGTGTACGTATTTGCATGCGAGGATCCTCTTTCCTCGCTTTAGGGATATTTTTATTTAGAAACTTTAACGAAAGAGCAGGTACACAAACAGCTGGAACATATCACGGTCTGACATTTGTAAGTAAAGCAAAAGAAATATGACTTTAAATAATACGAGTCACACCTTAACTAAGAGATAATGCATTACACAGAAGACGATAGTAGCTGACAACTCTTTCAGATCCTCTGTTTTTTCTAAGGGTTTCACTTTGCCAGGATGAAAAGGGATGGTCCTTTACCTCCTTATATTAAATATACTTATGATGTTTAATGGAACTACGCACCGTACAGTACCTATGGTTTAATGTTGCCATTATATGTCCTTGTTTTACTGCCTTGTCCCGTTGTCCGGGAAAGGTCTGTCAGGACACATAACTGTCCTGTGTTTGACCGACCCTTGAACACGGACTCGAAAAAAACGCAAATCATCCAAGTTTACCATAGTGACTCCGTCTATAACTATTGTTTCGGCGAGTTAATCACAACCCAATAATGCCTGCATAAAAGGTTACTACAGCCCTGGTACTGGCTTTCAATCTATTTTGGCTTAAAACGATACACTGTACAGTGTACAGTCGGGGTAAAAAATTCGCTCCCTCCCAAAATGAAGCAGCATCGACCCCAAACAAGATACAAGTCAGGTTAAGTCAGTTCGGAGACTCATTTCCGTGACTCAGTTTCACCACAGGGAACCAACTTTGCCCGCGACTGTACCTGATCTAACTAATGTACACAATAAATGGTCTTCGCGTGTAAGATCACTGGGTTCGTTGTTCGATACATAATATACATTCAGTGTTACCAGTATAAGAGTTCCTCATATAACCATCAAGAGTGCTGAAGGCTTAAACACAAGACCAGTGTTATGAGCAAGAATGCCCGAGTCAAAGCATTTTAAGTGTCACCAACTACAAATCCGGCAAAACCAAAAACATTATTCCAGTCAGTTTAGACAAAAACAATACTAGCGTTACCAACTACTAGTCTGAAAAAAAAAATCGTAGTGTTACCAGCTACCACTTCATGACCAAAAAACAAAAAGAAACTCATGTGTTACCAACTACCTGCCTTTATGACAAAAAAAAATATTA